ATTAGAGCTCTGGAGAAACAGTATGGAAAGTGACACGCTAGACATGTTCCCTACTCTGGTGTCAATGGTACAAGACACTGATAATCCAGTGCTTCCCATGGACATAAAAAGCCGCCTACTTGATCATCTCATAATGTTGAAAGTTCATTTCGAAAAATACTTTTGCAATAATTTTGATAAATTTAATTGGATTAAAAATCCATTTGAAAATGCTCCTGGCCCATCATCTCTGAATGTAAATGAGCAAGAACAACTCATCGATCTCACTAGTGATACTTCATTAAAAAGTAAATTTAAGGGATTGTCTTTGTTGAAGTTCTGGATACATATTGGCACAGAATTCCAAACTTTGAGCCAAAAAGCATTGAAAATCCTGATTCCTTTTGCAACAGCTTACTTATGAGAGACAGGCTTTCTGCTTTGGCAGCTATAAAGTCAAAGTATCATTCAAGGCTAAATATTGCTAAAGAAGTTAGAGTGGCCATTTCTGATATTACACCACGTTTTGATAAACTTTGCTCTCAAAAGCAGGCCCATCCATCACACTGAACTTTGACATTTAAATGTTTGATTTTCTTTGTAGAAAAAAAATTAAATACTTGTTTGTTAAATATTGTTTCATTTCAGTACATATTTTGGTTAATTGCAAGTGTTAAAACAAATTTTTATTGTAGGCCCAATATTGTGATACTTTAATTTTGAGTAAGAAAACTGCTAAATAGTATGTAGGAGAAAACAAAATAAACTGAATGAAACGTCAAACATACCATGACTTCTATTTGGTGGGGAAAAAAAAAAAACAGGCTGGGGGCCTGAGAGTATTTTCTCTTGTCAGGGGGGGAGGGGCTCAGAGGTAAAAAGTTTGAGAACCACTGCGTTAGCGCTATTTCCTGCTATAAAATGCTAGTATCATCGGCAAAGAATGTAGGTTTCCCATGTTCTGTGCTGGCCTCCAGGTTGTTTATGTATAACAGAAACAACACTGGTCCCAGAACGGAACCTTGTGGGACGCCATAGCTGATGGGTCTCTTTTGGGATAAGTAATTAATGTTACGATTAGTTTTCTTGCATCTGTATGTAATTTCTACCGCATGTTCTCTGTTTTCTAAGTATGTTTGGAACCACCTTAGTGTAACTCCTCGTATTCCCATTCTTTCCATCTTACTTAGCAATATATCATGATCTGCTAGGTCGAACGCTTTTGATAAATCCAAAAATATCCCTATACTCGTTTCTTTTTCATTTAGTGCTTTGTAAACCCTTTTTGTAAATTCTGTGATTGCTGTATGTGTTGATTTTCCTTTGCAGAATCCATGCTGTTTGTTGTTGATTATGCTGTACTTATTTATGAATGATAAAAGTCTGTTCTGCATAATTTTTTTCGATTATTTTAGAAAAAACCGAAATTAATGACACTGGCCTGTAGTTCCCAACATCTGCAGTACAACCTTTCTTATACAAGGGTTTCACTTTTGCTAATTTTATTTGGTAGGGGAAATATCCAGATGAAAATAACAGATTTATACTGTATGTTAGAGCATTTACTAGTTGAGGATGACATTTTTTAATAATGAATTCTGGAATATTGTCAATGCCCATTGATTTTTTGTTACCCAATGTTTTAATTATGTTTACCACCTCCCTTTCAGTGGTTGGGGTTAAGAACATGCTATTGCTGTTGTTTTTTATTGTTTGGTCCTGTCTTCATTGTTTTGTGCTGTCGGATTGTTACTCCGGATGTGCTGGGCAATGTTAGTATAGTATTCATTAAAAACATTGGCTGTAACTTTTGGATCTTGTATAGTTGTTCCATTCACTCCTAATTCAATGTTCTTTGGAACTTTTTGCCGACTGCCTAATTCTTCTTTGATTAAATCCCACATGGCTTTCAATTTGTTCCCAGATGATCATATTCGCATGTTGTTGCTTAATTTTTTAGCCTCACTGATAATCCAAAGGGTTGTTAAACCAAGAAAATATAAATATTACAAGCAGTTGTTGCATTTTAACACAAATCAAAGATGAGCGTAATCTTAAAAATTTCAAAATAGTGTCAGTAATATGTAATTTCTTCTTGCTTCTCAGTAGCTCATTAGTGTTCTCATTTACCTGAAAACTGCTGTAAATATTTTCATCAGAAATTGGTAAGTGAAAACTTCAATGTACGAGTAATTTTGTTTCATTTCACGTGTAATAACAATTTTTATGCTTTAAACTGCAACACATTTCATCATATTCCAGTGCACACCATGGAAAAAACGCTCCTGCTGCACACACAATACAACAAGAAATGCTCATCACTCAAACTTGTATAACTTCAACTACGACCACTGCAGTCATAAGAAGAACATGTCTATAGACTGTAGAAGACATTTCACACAAGATTTATGTTTTTATGAATGTTCACCAAACACTGGACCATGGACAGTAAAAGTAGGTAAAACAATTATATGCTGTATGTATCTGAAGTAACCCTTCATAAAGTAATTTATCTCCATATATAAGTTTTGTGTGTTTATTCATACTGTGTGTTTCAAGTTCTCGATTTTCATATATATATATCAGATATTACTCTTCTTTGTACCCATTACTTTAATTATTGTGCATGCAGGTTTCCATGAAAACTCGAAATGAACGTTTCTACCAAGTACCACTATGCCAAAGTGATTGCATTGCTTGGTTTGCTGCATGCATCGATGACTACACATGCACAGACAATTGGTTCAGGAATTGGGTATGGAGTAAACAGGGGAACCGCTGTGAAGAGGGTTTAGAATGCAGAACCTTCAAAGAGGTATTTGGAACAGCTGAGAACTTCTGTGAAAAGGTATTATGCCTGTTTTGTTTGAAGGTGACATTAAGCATGCCATAGTTTCATATCTCATAAAGAGTATAAACACACCCAGAGTGTTTTATTGGAGAACTTTATGCTGAAGTAATACAGTTTGGAACATGGAATTTCTTATCAGAATGCTAAATAAGCTAGTAGTGTATTAAAAGTAGCAGCTAGGTAGTATATTATATAGGTGTGGTTTAAATTGCTTAATCTTTGGGTTACTTAACCCCTTGAAACCTTCTTTTTTGAGCACATTATGGAGCCAAAGGACATATTAGATGGACACCGTGACTTTCAGAGCCAGCAGCTGGTGTGAGGGTATTGAAATTCTCATTTTTTATGGCAGTCGTTTACTTTGCTGTTTCTAAAATTGCCCGGGGTTTGACTGGTATTGCCATCTACAGTATGGAACCCATTATCTAGAATACTTGGGATCAAAGGCTATCTGGACTTTTGGTCCCTTTGCCAATAAAATTATAACATGTCAATTCAACAGTTAAAAACATTTATTAAATATGCCTTGCAAAGTTAAATATTTCATGCATTCAAGCTTTCGGATTTCAGGTCCTTCCACATTTTAGGATTCCAAATATGGGGTCCCATTCTGTATACAGTCAGTTTTGATATGAATGCAAATGAGTCTACCTTGGTGTAGTGTACATCCACACTCTGCTGCCAAGCTACACATGACATGTCTGGGTGTTAGTGATGCTTTTTGAGCTGAAGAGTTATATAGTACTGAATGCAAAGACAAAAATGACACCGTCCAATGTGACTATTTAGGTTTTATCATTTGAAGACTCATCACCCTTACATGTTCCGATCCCTACGGATCATCCTCAGAGGGCATCAATACTTTTTTCAGAAACTACTGTTACAATAGATGTTAATTATATACACACACATATAATGTTTGAAATGCACAATGTACACAGTGTTCAACCTTTCACATTCACAGCAGCCTTCCTGGTGTTAAATTTTTTTTTTTCTAGTTCAAGATTAAAATTTATAAACCATACAGGTTCGTGTCATTTCTCCTATTGCTATTCTTGGAGGTGGCTGATCCTGTGCCGCCTGTTTATCTTGCGAAAGGAGATTCTTAGTGTTTCCGTGTTTATTCATGGCATGCTGAGTTGTTTACACTGTGTAAACAGGAGAAATGACACAAACCTGTATGGTTTATAAATTTTAAGCTTGAACTAGAAAAAAAAAGGTTTTTAAAAAACTTTAAAAAGTTTTAACACCAGGAAGGCTGCTGTGAATGTGAAAGGTTGAACACTGTGTACATTGTGCATTTCAAACATTATATGTGTGTGTATATAATTAACATCTATTGTAACAGTAGTTTCTGAAAAAAGTATTGATGCCCTCTGAGGATGATCCGTAGGGATCGGAACATGTAAGGGTGATGAGTCTTCAAATGATAAAACCTAAATAGTCACATTGGACGGTGTCATTTTTGTCTTTGCATTCAGTACTATATAACTCTTCAGCTCAAAAAGCATCACTAACACCCAGACATGTCATGTGTAGCTTGGCAGCAGAGTGTGGATGTACACTACACCAAGGTAGACTCATTTGCATTCATATCAAAACTGACTGTATACAGAATGGGACCCCATATTTGGAATCCTAAAATGTGGAAGGACCTGAAATCCGAAAGCTTGAATGCATGAAATATTTAACTTTGCAAGGCATATTTAATAAATGTTTTTAACTGTTGAATTGACATGTTATAATTTTATTGGCAAAGGGACCAAAAGTCCAGATAGCCTTTGATCCCAAGTATTCTAGATAATGGGTTCCATACTGTAGATGGCAATACCAGTCAAACCCCGGGCAATTTTAGAAACAGCAAAGTAAACGACTGCCATAAAAAATGAGAATTTCAATACCCTCACACCAGCTGCTGGCTCTGAAAGTCACGGTGTCCATCTAATATGTCCTTTGGCTCCATAATGTGCTCAAAAAAGAAGGTTTCAAGGGGTTAAGTAACCCAAAGATTAAGCAATTTAAACCACACCTATATAATATACTACCTAGCTGCTACTTTTAATACACTACTAGCTTATTTAGCATTCTGATAAGAAATTCCATGTTCCAAACTGTATTACTTCAGCATAAAGTTCTCCAATAAAACACTCTGGGTGTGTTTATACTCTTTATGAGATATGAAACTATGGCATGCTTAATGTCACCTTCAAACAAAACAGGCATAATACCTTTTCACAGAAGTTCTCAGCTGTTCCAAATACCTCTTTGAAGGTTCTGCATTCTAAACCCTCTTCACAGCGGTTCCCCTGTTTACTCCATACCCAATTCCTGAACCAATTGTCTGTGCATGTGTAGTCATCGATGCATGCAGCAAACCAAGCAATGCAATCACTTTGGCATAGTGGTACTTGGTAGAAACGTTCATTTCGAGTTTTCATGGAAACCTGCATGCACAATAATTAAAGTAATGGGTACAAAGAAGAGTAATATCTGATATATATATATGAAAATCGAGAACTTGAAACACACAGTATGAATAAACACACAAAACTTATATATGGAGATAAATTACTTTATGAAGGGTTACTTCAGATACATACAGCATATAATTGTTTTACCTACTTTTACTGTCCATGGTCCAGTGTTTGGTGAACATTCATAAAAACATAAATCTTGTGTGAAATGTCTTCTACAGTCTATAGACATGTTCTTCTTATGACTGCAGTGGTCGTAGTTGAAGTTATACAAGTTTGAGTGATGAGCATTTCTTGTTGTATTGTGTGTGCAGCNTCAAGCACTTCTAGGAAATTGGTAAGTGTTCTCCAAAAATTTTAGTTCAAAAAATTAATTAGATTTTATATTAATTTTTAAAGTGAACAGTGCACAAGTTAGGGTAGTATGTTCAAAAATGCCGATCCCCAGGATGATTTAAATCACTGATCCGCGAAGTGTTAACATCTATTGTAATAGTAGTTTCTGAAAAAGTGTTGATGCCCTCTGAGGATGATCCGTAGGGATCAAAACATGTAAGGGTGATGAGTCTTCAAATGATAAAACTTAAATAGTCACATTGGACGGTGTTATTTTTGTCTTTGTAATTGTTAGCGTGACGGACCAGAATGAAACAAATCAAAAAGTACTGAATGCGGTAACAAAATTTTGCTTGAGTTTTGAGATAAGATTTTGAAGGACATCATGACCCATTTCATGGCATTGCCCTGGTATTCACCTAGAATGATGGGAAAATTATAAACACCTTGCTAATCTGGCCAGCATTTGTACTGAGTTCATCTTAAACAGGTGGTCACTACACCAGCAGGTACTGTTTGGAATTTAACAGAGAATAGTTAGTTAGGAAGGGAATAATATTCCACTGGCAAATGGTTATACATTTTCCTGTGAAGAGGAGAGTGTTATCTTTAAGAGATTTGCTGTTTTGTTCATAATGGAATGAAATAATGAGCAGTTAAAAGAGAGCTAGGTACTGATCAGTCGGCTGATTGAAGGAGGGCGTCGGTCAATGCATAATATTCAGAATTTACTGTATCATGAAAAAACATGGGCCCAGTTATCCTACCCACACTAATGGAACATCAAATCTCAACTCATAAATCATGCAGTGGCACTTTGAGAACAGCACGAGTTTTTTCTTTGTTACAGTGTCTTTTATTATTGCTGTTTATGTAGTTAGTTAGTTATTGGAGAGGGTGGGTTTCCCCATGCACTTAGACGAGTATTGGTCCCTGGTGCTTCCCTCTATGATGTTCTACCAGTCTGTATACCCTACCGATATTGGTGCGTACCATCAGTCCTGACTGAGCCAGCGAGTTCAGCCTCTACTGGCTTGGCGGTATCTATAATGCTTCCCCCATCTGTCAGAGGCGTTAGAGACTACTGTTGGGCGGGAAATGTCCTTGAATTTGGCTCAGTGACCTCCTTTGAAGATATGAGGTTCTTTTAAGTGCCGTAAAGCTACGACATGGGACCCACAGCTTAAAATCCCTCCCGGAGGACTTATTCCCTGAATTTTTCCACCCTTAAAAATTCCACAACCTCCGCCGGGTTTGAACCCGCATACCACGAGTCATGAGGTGGGAACGTTACCTCTAGACTACGGAGGCCGCTTCGCCGTTTATGTAACTGCATAAAGTGAAATATGTCTGATCGGAATGAAACATAAGTTCTGGGTCAAAAAGTCATTGAATACTGATTCCTGAAACTTGCTACAGTATAAGAGCATTGCTTCCCAGTCTGGAGGCAGTAGGCTAAGTGTGATTAATACACTTTAAAAGAATTCTGACGATGGTGTATGCTGTATAGAACTGTAAGGTTTATTTTGGACTCTATCCATCATCTGGTATATATAAGACAAAAAACCACAATGTTTTGGAGATTGGATCTGTCTCCATCCTCAGGTGGATGGGGCAAGATAGACCTACTCAGCTGGGCCTGTTAGAAAGAGTAGTCTCAATCACTGGACAAACCCCGGTCAGTAGGGTACATAAAGTATAATGAATCACCTCACACGGCATGTTCAACTAATCCGATCAGCCAGCCCAGTTTGGATATTTCTCCCTTATGGATAATCCTCATCAATGAAGAGGTCAACAAGTCAAAATTAAAGTTTTTATGAAAATCGGTGTCTTCCGTTACATGTGCTAATTTTACTCTGGAGTTTAGTCTTATTTCGAGAAGTCGCCCTGGTGGCACGATTCTTTATCAGCATAATTAGCTTTACGTCCTCTATATTATTTACCCACTTTTTTTTAACTTAATTCCTGGAACTTAATCCATACCACTGTTTTATCACATTTTTGACATGTGCATGCTTGGCACAAAAGTTTTAGCTTGTCTTTTATTGTGATTTTATTCTCATCTCCCAATGATGGAACCTGTTGTCAAGTGTTTATAGGCTGTTCTCTACTGACTGGGATTTGTCCAGTGATTGAGACTAGTTTTTTCTAACGGGCCCAATTTGTAGGTCTATCTTGCCCCATTCACCTGAGTACTGAGACAGATCCAGTCTCTGAAACATTGTGTTTTTTTTTGTCTTATATATACCAAAGGATAGATAGAGTCCAAAATAAACCTTATAGTTCTGTAAGGTCACAAATATAGCAACTTTGTACCAACATGAGCTGTACTTTTTTGCCAGCTCACACTGAAGAGCAGAAAGATGTTATAACTTCTTTGTTCTTGCTTGTAGGCAAGTACCAATGTCATTAAGTTTTTCTCGTCAGTGTGTCTTTTTTAGATACCTATTCATCCAAGACTGACCCCATAAAACGTAATTTTCTTACAATTTGTGGATTTTTCCTTTATGCTACACTGTACTGCCACAATACTTTTGTGAAACTTTGTGGCATTTCCTCCATGAAGAATGCTGTATTACAGGTATATGAATAATTATTGTTCAACATTATATTTCTTGAACACTGTGAACTGTATTTGTACCTGTCTCAAGGACAACCAACCATGCTAAACAAGTGTTTTGTTTAGTGGGGGGTGGAGTCCAGCTGGGTCCACTCAGCATGGCAGCCACTGATTGGCCTATTGTACTTGCCCCGGGTGATTATGATGATGGAGAATGTGGTGGAATGAAGATGGGCAGGGGAAACCGAAGTACTCGGAGAAAACCTGCCCCAGCGCCACTTTGTCCATCACCAATCCCACTTGACCAGACCCGGGATTGAACCCAGGCTGCTGCTGTGGGAAGCCAGTGACTAACCACTGGAGCTATGGCACAGCCTAAACAAGTGTTAGCAACCATATGATGACTAATTGACAGTTTGGTACCCAAAAGTTGACAGGCATGGGTGAACAGCTGGCCAATCAAAGGATAAATTTGATTTCCTGTAGAATACAAATAACATCAAGACAAGAGGTACAAAGCCGTATGTCTGTTGTCAAAACACAGTCATATGCTATAATTCAAATTGTTTATAAAGGGTTTTCAAAGGCATGAAATGCTGTCACAAGCTCAATGCACATGGATGTGCACAATTCTTGTTTGTGTTGTCCTGTGTACTCAGTGGCCTTGCGATCCTCTATCCAAGGAATCCTACCAGCTATCGCTTAGATTCATAGTTTGAGATTAATTCTAAATGAGACTATGCCAGAGGACCTTAAACCATCACGAAGAGGAAAAAGAAAAATAACAGTTTTCATGATGAACTAGAATCCTCGGTCTATGAATGTTGTTAATACAGTGTTGAAAGCAGTAATTACAAAAATGACCTTACATTGTAATACAGTTTGGTTATCTTCCATAGGTGTGGGATGATGCCTGGAAGTATACCCCAGATGATCAACCATGCATGAGGATATGGTTTGATGGAGAAAAAGGCAATCCTAATGATAACATTGCTAGACTGAAAGTTCAACAGTTGATGGGGTATATTAATATAGGAGTTAAAGGAAAAGGCAATCTTATTACAAATTTGATCCTAACTGCATTTTTTATGGCTATATTTGTTTGATAGTAGAATAGTAGCAGTCTTGCTTGTCTTTTGATCTGAGTATGAGTTATTAATTTTATAGTGTAACCTCAGCATAATGAAGAAAACTGTAGGTTGTTATGAGACACATTTATAAAGGCTCTTTGCGTCCATGTAATGAATACTGTCTAAACTCTAAAGCATTTAAATTCCTTACTAATAAATGCACTGTGCAACAATATTTAACATCATGATCATCAGCATTAAGGTTCAGACTGTTTAGTGTTCTACTGGAAGACAAGTTAATCTTTCCAGCATAACCAATTATCAATAGAACCTCCATCGAGTGTAACAATATATATTCTTGTCACTATTTTTTCACATCTGCCTTACATGTTTCGGCTCACAAAGAGCCATCATCAGAGGCACCCACAACAAAAACATGGAACACTTGCACTGCTCAACATTCACAATATACAGTTTTTGTGGAAGTTATTACATGTACAGCATAACTTTGGCATTCTTCAATCTTTTTGTTATAAATGTCACTGGTTCAGCACCTGTTGCAATTAAAGCATGTAACTGCAAAACAAAACTCCTTATGATTCATGTCTGATAGATTGTATGGGATTTATCTCATATAACAGTTTGATTTTTTTCAAGATCAAGTCAGTTTTCTTAATTAAAACTTGACAAAAATATACATTTCTGAACAAGTATGTATTATAGTGTTTACACGCAATTTCTTTTAACACCATTTAATTATGTTGTTTCAGCATTTATTACATGGAGGTTTACTATATTCTTAGGGTAACAGTGGTGCTATTTTATAGTGACATTAAATTTTTAGGATTTATAGTTTGGCTGAATAACTAGGAACTGCTCAGTCAGAACTCTGTACATAGTATGTATATGTGTCATTACTTGTTTTGGGTAAAAATCTTTCATCTACTTCTGGGATACATTAAGCATATCCAGTTTCTAGTAACTCATGCTGATGCTGATTATAGTATCACTGTCTCTTACTGGAAGTTACCTGAGGACAACCATAATCATATATGGGTTAATAATTAACAAAATGACGAATGAAAATAATTGCTGTTTTGTGTTAATGTCAGTCATGCCTATTTTAGGGAAGTTGATACTGTTTGTAATCTGCTTTCCTTATTTTGAAAAAGAAATCACCTTGCTCTGTGCATGTTTGTGTGCACTCACAAGGGCGAGAGAGAGAGAGAGAATCTGTAAGTGCCTGAACCACTCATCTTGAAACTTGGTATGTATATCATGGTACCTGATCCCATCTGAATGGCTTACTTATAAATCCCTCCCATGAGTAATATAGACAGTACAGCCTCTCAGATTTCTGAGGCAAAACCTTAATATTACTTAAACACCTGTATCAATCTTCATGAAACTTGGTATGTGTATCACTCCAACTGAAGCCATCTCAGTAGAATATATCATAGATCTCATCAGTAATACCCACACTGTATAGTGTTATATGACCGTCAACACAACAGATGTGTGATAAATAAACCAATGGTACTGTATTAACATTTGTTTATGATGTATACTTGCTGCATGTTTTGATTCAGCTGGTTCATTATCTGTCAATTTTCATGAAGTGTAGTACTTGTTATTAAATTATCTTTCTAATGTGGATCAATATTAGTGATCATTAATAACATAATTTCATTACAGTTCCTGTTTTTCGTTATATAATTTTTTAATATTAGTCACAAGATGTAAAACATTATAACTCAGGTAAAAATGAAAAATTGTTGTTTATTTTAAGATGGAGCACAAGTCTGTGGTGTTGCACTGTAGAGTAAAGGGGTTCTTCTGGGAGTCTGTGTTGTATTTTAATTCTTTGTGCACATATTATATGACAGTTTTCCATATGTAAGTGATGTTATGTTCTGTTTTCCTTTTGAGTGACGGTGGTAAAGTTTTTGTGTATGTTGTATCATGTCCTGTCTAGGGATGCCACGTCTTCTTGCTATTATATAGCAGTTGTTCATATTCTGTGATTCTATTTGTACAAAATAAAATGCTCAAAATTTTGTACAAGATGTTATGTTCTGTGTCTTAAGGCTAGAGTCATATTGCCTTTTTTTCAGCTAATTAATGACTAAGGCCAAGATTTTTTGAAAATGCATATTTTGAGGGTTTTTGGTCGTTATTGCATATTGTAAATGTAAGAGCATATTACTGCATATATGTTTGGAATTAAGGATAATTTTAATGTTCACTAATAAAATCGGTTTTGCCTGTGTTTTGGACATCCCTTGCCAGTTGCTATTCTCAAGTCTCTCAGTAACGGCACTTTTACCACTTACAATACAAACAGGTAGCTTGGCTGTTTCAAAAGGGAGGGGGTGGGATTTTCCTGCATTCCTTTGACCACCACAGCAGACAGTAGCATCAGAAGGTTGGCCTCAAGAGAAGTCTCTTTAGTTAATGTGTTACTCTTTACTTTAATAATCTGCATCAAAAAAGTGTTCGTGTACTGAAAATGCCTAAAGAAAAGTGCAGCAGTAGATATTTAAAAATTCGGTGGGTGTCGGGTAATAGTGACTATTCAACAGACGGTGTCGTCGTGTACTGTCAAGTGTGAGCAAAGGAAGTAAAATGTGAAAAGAAATTTCAACTTCAACAACACTAGAGAACAACTGCATGTATTATGGCAAAGAAGGGGAAGAAGAACAGCACACCAAAACTACTACTACTTACACAGCTCAAACCCAAATCCTCTGTTAATACATTTTCAGCCGATCTTTGTAAGGCTTTAGTATGCAGCAACATTCCATGGAATAAGTTAAGCAGTCCAGTTCTGCGATCATTTCTGGAGAAATATTGTGTAATTAAAAAATCCCAGATGAATCTACTCTGGAGTCAATCCGTTCTCACATCGGAGGGAACTGTGTCTGGATGTCAGTGGATGAGACAACTGATTTATGTGGCCGATACATAGCAAACTTCGTAGTTGGTAAGCTACATCCAGATGAACCTGGCAAACCTCATCTTCTTGCTTGCAAAGTACTAGAGAAAACCAACCATAGCACAATAGCAAGATTTGTAAATGATTCTTTGCAACTACTATGGCCATCTGAAATTGAGAATAATTGTTGTAAGGTGCTTGTATTACTCACAGATGCAGCTTCCTGTATGTTGAAAGCAGCAAAGGCCTTACAAGTATTTTATCCAAATCTTATACACGTAACCTGTTTAGCGCACAAATTACACCGTATTGCAGAAAAAATACACGCAGTTTCCAGCTGTTGGCGATTTAATTGCAAGTGGGAAAAAACTTTCTGAAAGCACCAGCTTGTTTCCAGTTCTACAAAGATTGCCTACCTCGGGTTCCTCTGCCACCTGAACCTGTCCTAACTGGGTGGGGGACATGGATATCCGCAGTTTCATTTTATCAGGAGAATTTCAATCAAGTAAAAGAAGTGGTTACAAAACTTGAGGATGAATATGCATGTGTCCATGAAGCAGAAGTGGTGTTTGGAAGTGATACTGTTTATCAAGATGTGAATTTTATCCATGCACATTTTTCTACAGTTTCAAAAACCATTGAGAGCTTAGAATCTTGTGGTGCACTCCTTCAGAAGCAACTTGTTCACTGAATTCTACTCCAGGCGAAATTGGAGAGAAGATAAAATTCAAGTTAGAAAAGGTGTTGAAATCGAACCCAGGACTAGAAAAGATTCAGTCAATTAGTCAGTACTTGAGTGGAATTAGGATATCTTTGCCAGATGAATGTTCTGAACCTTCGGCGCCAGTGTATAAATACTGTGCAATCACATCAGTTGATGTAGAAAGATCATTTTCAGCCTATAAACTCGTTTTGACGGACAATAGACGTAGTTCGTCTCCAGAAAACATTGAAAGACTTCTAGTTGCCTATTGTGATGCTACTTTCTGCAGTGAATGAACATGTAAATAGGCGAGTCTGAATACAGTGACCTGTTTCTTAACTGCATATTGTTTTATTTTTGGTGAATATTTTCCCATTTTTTAGTGCATAAAGATCTGGGCCCTATTAATGACATAACTGCAGCATTAAGAACTGATACAATATCAGAATCTCATTACTAAAAATATATTCATAAGATTAAGTGGCTTTGTATTGCAAGTAGTTCATAATATAAAATTTTGTGATTGTACTGCCAGATGTGCAAAATGAAAAATATTGTACAGTACGAGTATGTTACATTCTATTTGTCTTCAGATTATATCTACATTTTATTTTTGCGGCTAATAACACAATTGCAGCATTAGTAATTGATATTAATATCAGAATCTCATTTCTGAAACAAAATATAAAATATTTATAAGGTGGCTTCTAGTAACATAGGCTGTATACTGCAAGGTGCTCTGTTTCATATGCACACGTAGTTTATAACATAACATTTTGTGACTGCCCTCCCAAGTGTGCAGAATGAAAATGTTGAAAAATTTTATTCAAAACATTAATGTTCTGTTTGTGTATTACACTAGATTCATATTTAATTTTTGCAGTTAATGAACAACACATCTGCATGATTAAGGACTGATGCAATATCAGAATCATTACTAGAACAAAATATGTAATATTTATAAGGTGCCTTATATTGACGTAACATTGTATACTGCAAGGCACTCTTTACTTGATATGCATGTAGTTATGTTCAATAAACTATTTTAACAATCCTTGATGCAACAATTTCTTCTGTTCACTTTGAGTGGTGAACAAACTAGCAAATAATAATGTCCAGTATAATAACAAGGTGACTGCATGGAATTAATGCTCTACACTGTTTTGATAGAATTTTCATTTATTTCTGATAGTTACAGCACCTGAACGGGCATGCTTACACCAAAAATGAGAGATAAAGTCTACAGGAAACAAAGCACAGAATCAGAGGAAAAGAAATATCTAGAAAAATTACGGAAATCCATCATCATCATCCTCTGCCATTTCTTTGGCCAATTCCATGTCTTGCTGCTCTCTTTCTCGTCGCTCTTCTGCTGATTCTAAATCTTTGCCATATGATTTTGGTGGGTACCGCATAGCCTTCACACTCTGGTTGTGCAGATCCAGACAAAATGAGATCCGTTGATGGAAAGCCAGTTGTGGTTCTCTTGTACAGTATATATCAGTGGTTTCTTTGCTGCGCATATAGCCACGTTCTGGATCCAACGTGGCTTCAATAACTCCATCCCTTATGGCCTTGGCAACAATGAACTCTGCGTCTTCTGGTGAATCCAATCCCAACTTTCGTGCAATATCAGCTGGAGCAATACGGGAATAGGATAACCCCACAGAGCGAATAGCAGTCTTGATTACATTATGCCGAAGGCGCAGAATGAGTGTAAATGTATGGTCTGCACGAAACTGAGGCCCAAAATTTTCCAACACTTCCCCAAATCTATGAAGGTTTCCCATTCGCACTGCTTGGGTAAGCTGGAAGTAAGGTGCCAGAGACCGCCTAAGAGCAGCCTGTCTAAATATCTGACGTTCTGGTATGTCTCCTAGCAGTAGTTCCACAGTTACTGCCAGCTTCTGCACTGTCTGACGGAATCCCACAGCTGCAGTCTGTGGAGCTTTACGCATAGCTTGAACAAGATGCTTGTGGGCTGCAGAGTACTCCAGACGAGCTGCCTTGATGCGGCCAAGGTAGTAGAAAAAGCGAGCCCATTCATTGTTACTACCTGTTTCTGGAAAAACTGACTTAGAAACTAATTTATCAGCTTGATCATAGAGACTGTAGTGCAAGTAGTTGCGTAAGAGACAGTTAATGAGCACTCCTTGTCCCTCAAAATCATTTCTAAGTGTGGCTGTTCGCAGTCGTGAATGTAAAAAGCCACGTATCTTTTCTAGCTGCTCTGTTAGCTCATAGCTGCGAGAGTGGTAGAAGTAACATTTTGCTGCTACCAGGTCAAGGGTGCGCCGATTTTGGGCTGTTACTTTTTGCATTAACAGATCTGAACACTGGACAGCATCACTATATTTCTGACCATCAATCAACTTAAGAAGCACCAGAAGATGAATGTAAGTATCTATCTCAGGAAGCAGTGGTGTAACTGAGCTCTTACTGCTTCTCATTCGATGGCTACTACTGCTCTCAGTTTCCATTGGTTCCTCCACAAATGCCAACAGTGCATCCCTTTCAACTGCTGAGTGAGTATAAAATCCAGTAATAATTCCCCGTAGAATGGTAGGATTTAGTTTCCTCCGTGTATTTGGCAATGATCTTAGGACCCTTAAAATGAATCTTGGCTCCTTGCTTTGAACTGCCTTTTCAATCTGACGGGCATGCTCTCTAATATCCTGAATTGTAAGAGCATCTGAATCCTTTTTAGTGTCTCCAGAATCTCCATCACCAGAAGGGCTGTCGGCATTTTTCATTTCTACATCTGTTTGTTCTGATACAGCCACCATTGTGGATAAATCTGGGGAAAAGAAAAAAAAACTCACCTTATAACCTTCAATTGAGAATAAACCCACTCCACGTGTTTAGGATACCTTTGATATTTCATATAGGAATGGTATCACAATGTCTGTTCCCCACTAACAAATTTTGAACCAAATTACTATTTTTATGAAAATTAATATGATCATGTAACTGAAGGCCATTTATATTTGTACTGTCATGTGACTGACTCTAGATGGGGTTTGGGTTAATAACTGGATTTACTGAACTCTTAGAGAATGTAACTACCAATAACTAAAGTGATAATGCTAATTCATACACAATGCAGTTCACTAGAGGATGGTTGAAGTTTTCTCCCAGGCTCTCATCCTTGCAGGCTGTGCTGTCTTACAACTAGTTCATTGCTCTCACTAGCTCCCAGGCTGATGGCCATCTCACATCAACCTCCTACTCTTCTCACTGTCATATCAAAACTTGTAAGGAGGGTGCAGCTGGAGTGGTTGGAGTATAATCTCTGTGAGAACAAAGCCATGGAGAAGGAAGGCAAGACCAATCACAGAAGTCAAAAGCACAGCCCTTGGAAAAGAAGAAATGGCAGTATGCCAGCAGACTATTCAAATAGCCTTAAGGAGGGAATGATGTAGTGTGTAAACCCATTACTTGGTAATGACCATGAAGCAAACAGGTTCCCATGGCAATAAGTTCACACGCAACAATAGTGGAACAGTTGGAAACAGTGTTCTGTATGCTGGTCTGTGCCAATATGTTATAACAGACAAGTTTAGAAGTTAGTCAGTTGTAAGTAAGTCTGTGAAGAGATTAGTTGGTGTGAGTTGGCTGCCAGCCTGAGAGTTGAGTCAATTGGAACAATTCAGTTGTGAGATATTCGCTGGACAGCAACGAAGTGCGCGCAGAAGATGAACCTCCATTGTTATGAGCTGTTACCAGGGAACAACTGGCGAAAACACAGCAAAGTGAAAAGACTTAGCATGTGCTGTAGTGATTTGTAAAGTGTGGAGATTAGTGATGGCACTATAATTAAGTACAGTCATGAGTGGTGTGTTAAAGTGGTCAATAAATCCAATCCAAACCCTGTTTACAGTCACTCATACATGTGATAGTGTCTAATGGAGCCTGTCAGAAGTGCATTCTGAAACTTCTTTCATAATGACAGTTGAAAGTACCCTTTTAACTTCATGCCTGGAAGAGGAAGTTTGTGATGAGTTCTAAAATGATGCTTCAGGTATGAGCTGGCACAATTAAGGAGGAATTCTACATTGGGTTACATGACTTCTATGTGAATTATGGTAAGCACAAAAGTGATATGTTGTAGTTTGCTGGTTACCACTAATTAGTCAAGAAACCTTTACTTCAAATATTTCCTGGCTACAGAATATTGATTATCCCACAGTTTGTGTCTTTTCATAAATACCAGAAGGCAATGGCTGATTCCTTTCCAGCTTAATATTCATAACCGTCATTTTGCACTTAATGCTACATATCCTGTGCACCTCACATTAGTACACAACCTATAAACAACCAAAGGAAAATATGTTCTCAACTACTATGTCACTGTGTTCACTTTTTGTTTGAAAACTCTGTAAACATTAATAAACTTATTCCAAATAAGAGCTGTCCTATGTAGAAAAGGAGCCGGGATAGCGTAGACGGTATAGCAAATGGCTATGGGCTGGATGACCAAGGGGTTGGAGTTTGAGTCCCAGTAGGGTCAAGAATTTTCTGTGTCCCCAGACCAGCTCTGGGGTGCACCCATCCTCCTATCCAATGGGTGCTGGGGGTAAAGTGGCAGGGGTGTGAAGCTGACAAATCACCTCCAACTAGTGCAGAGGTCAATACAATGTGAATCTATACATCCACTCACCCCATACACCTTCATGACATAGTGCTTATTTAGTTAAGCACATGGACAACTTGACCTTTACCTATATAGAAAACTGGGTTAAACTGAACTGTCTACTACTTTAAATTCATCCATTTCTAATGTCATGCATTTTTTCCTTTGGTCCTATGTCCATGAAACACAGAAAAAAATGAGTGATAACTGCAACTTTACAACTTGTAAATGAGGTATGTTTTGGGCGATTTCTGTTACCATTCCTAATGAATCAAGAGGCATGGGGAGTATAGGTATGTTAAGCACAACAGATCTGTAGGTCACGCTGCAAGGGCTGAGAAGGCCCACCCCTTACACATTCATAGGTATGTTTAATGTGAAGTGACATGGTGCTGTTCCTACATTTTTATTCATGAAACGATTTTAACTGTTCTGTAACATTTCTGAAGTGGCAATTTTATATACTTCATTTAATGTGGTGACTGTTCCACGACATTTCTAGTAAAATTCTGACATACTGCAAGTAGTACCCGAGAAAATCTGATTTTAAAATATTTGCATACTTTCTTACCTAAGTTTAAAAAAAACACGTTCATCACACAAACTTATAGTGGATGACTGTGTTCAGAAATTTACTTCTGATGCTTTGCTTCGTACGAAAACAGTACTTCGCATAACACATTGCAACGGCTGTACTCTGCTATTTTTAATAGTTCAACTTCGTGCGTTGGCCTTCCGTATCATTAACACCGCCAATCCATTATAGAAAAATTCTACAATTTACATTTATTGACAAAAAAAATGTGAAAGGCAGACCAAATTGTATAGGCAGATACACCACAAGAAGTTTTAACCTCAAGCTTCCTGTCAAACATAAAAACGAGCATATTACAGTATACCTAAAATTATTGATTCTACGTAAACCGCGTCAAATCTGTACGAGGTAATAACGACATTTCGAGATACTCACAATCAGATACCTTTACAAACACCTACTATTCTAACACTTTTCTTCGAAAATGCAAAGTAATAACGGTAATAACCCCCATCTACTGTAACATTCACAAACCACACTACGGCAAACACGACGAACACGACTAATTTTCAATTATAACCAAAGATTATATACAGGTTTCCTATGTTTGCAGGCGGTCAATGCTGGTCAATGCTAAGTTCGGCTAAGAAAGTCAAAGCAAAACATACACAGAAGGAAGATCTAAAGCGAACTTAAAGGGACTGTGTTGAAACTTTAAGCATAAGAACCAAAGGAATTAATAGGATACATAGAAACCTTCTCGTTTCATTGCAGTCTTCATAGAACTAAGGGAAAACCAGTTTAAGACTATCTTGAACAGAAATGGAAAGAAGCCCACTCCCAAGGGACAGTAGATGCAGAGAATATTATTGTAGTTAAGTAGCTGATATTAGAAACAACATTTTGCCCTCTTCGTCCTGTACATAGTAATCCTAGTAATCCGTGCCGCTGAACTTGCATGGGGCGGAGCGGGCGGAGTTCATGATTGTTTGCGTGAGCTCGGTGAAATTGTGTGAAGTGTCGTAAGTGGTACTTGTAGTTACTTTCTTTTTTTGTAGATTATAGGTAGAGTATTTTTTGGTCCGATACGTTGTGCTCTCACTTTCATTCGTAACAATGTTGGTTCATTTTTTTTATGAATACTGTTCAATTGTAGCATGGCACGTAATTAAAATGACGCTGGGTATTCAAAGTCATTGGCGGTAGAGGTGATGTTACAGAGGTTACAGGTCGGTGACCCACAAGAGGGCATTGACCATGGCTTTGACATTGTAGAGGTGAGACAGGTTGTAGGAAACAGCTGAAAACCGCATGTAGATTTGATATCTGGGGCAAATTAGCTGTGGAAATGCACCCTGTGAGTTCTAACTTGTCTGTGTTGCAGATGATGGAAAATTTTACCAGGAGTGCAGTCACAATGTATTATATTTTTATAGTTTTAATGTAGCATCCTTAAAGCCATGTGTTGGTTTAATGTGATTGAGTATTGGTAACATTCAACAGGTATGGTTGGTAGTTTGCATCCCACTTCAGTCCATTCCCCTTGCTCAATGTTAGTGATGGGGTTAGTAATCCAAGGAACACTGATTATAAGTGGGTACAGTTGCTCTTTGATGCCTATTAGGGGTGAGGTTTGGTAGGGGAACAGTGATTTACTCTGTAGTGTGATTATGTACTGCACCTTATGCTTTTGATACTGACATTACCAGTGTAATAGAGTTTGTCATTTAATTGCATATCCAGTTTGTGACAACTTATATAGTATTTTCTCAGTTTTAAAGAAGATTCGGTTATTGTTGAATTGAATACCTGATAATTGGGTAACATGAAATTGTTGAGTATTTATTGTATTCCTCAAACTGCACAAAAGTGTAATATGTATTAAGACTCATTATTGTATTAAGGGGCAGTGGTATTGTGCAGTGAATTACAAGTTTCTTTTAAGAATTGCAGTGTTCAGTTTCCTTCAGTGTTTTCTTTTCAAATTTCTTTCAGATAGCAACATGGGGGATACAACAGGTTTATCCAATACTGAAGCAAGAGATCTTTGTAAGCCACCAGATCAAGAAACAAAAGTGAGTGTTTTATTCAGCTACATAAATGACTCCCTCACAAAGTAATGCTTTGGACAGTTATTAGGGCCAAGAAGTATAAATAACCATAACACAAGATATGATCAGTGCATGGTACCTCTGGTTGCTTGCTAGTTAAATTACTGAACAGTATTTCATATATATATAATCAATATATAGGTTATATAACAATGAATGGCGGGGTGATTTACTGTTAAGATGTGAACCCAAGACCTGAATGTGTAGCATCGGTATCAGCCATTATACACAGTATCTGATACTCAGAATCTGTGATACAGAGTAACATATCTTTTTTCAGGAGTTCATATTCCAGCAAACTATGTATCGCATCAAGGATCCACGGCGATCATTAGAGTTTTACACAAAGGTTTTGGGCATGAGACTTCTACAGAAATTAGATTTCCCAGAGATGAAATTTTCTTTATATTTTATGGGATATGAGAAAGCTGAAGACATTCCATCAGATCCTTCAGCACACAGTGAGTGGACATTCTCAAGGAAGGCAACTCTTGAACTCACACAGTAAGTACAGTTCTGAAGATGCATTGTGTACTCATTCTGATACATGTTAGCATGCATCCGTGAAAACATATTCCTGTTGGAGGGTGGTGGAATCTTCGAGTGTCTGGCATGGTTTTGTTGATTCAGTTTGTTTTAACCTGCAGTAAGTACATGATTTGGACATATTGTAGGATGTAGACCTGTTACTGGATAACTATTTTGAAACAGACAGAGGAAGAACATGTGCTGCTAGGCAACAGATTCTTTATAAGCAAGTATATGCAGTTGTTACTGGGTAACACGTTTGCAAACAAACACATTCTCACATAACCGACTGGAGTACAATGCTAAACAGTGTTTTCTGCATGGTCTGTGCTAGAGGGTGAGGTTATCAGTTATCAGGGCCCATAAGAGGGAAAATTTCTTGCCTTGTAGAGTAATTGTCAGCTTAGTTACTTTATTTTTTAATTGCTAGTGGGGTGGGACCAAGTCTCTTGTACTGCGGCCACTTCTGGCCTATTGTACCAACCCCAGATGATAGGTGGGGTGATTATGGAGCAGTTGGTGGAATGAAGATTGGCAGGGGAAACCGAAGTACTCAGAGAAAATCTGCCCCAATGCCACTCTGTCCACCACAAATCCCACTTGATCAGACCTGGGATTGAACCCGGGCCACTGTGGTGGGAAGCCAGCAACTAACCACTTGAGCTGTGGTATGGCCAGCTTAGTTACTTAGTCCGATTATTTTGCTGTGGGTGCTGATGAATGCTGTATAAAACCATAGTTAAGTTAACTTGTCTGCAATACAGGAATGAAATTCAATACTTCATGAATACAAAACATTGTCTGCAGTAGTAATAGCTTGTTTCATAATATGCTCTTCCATTAAGTCATCATGGTTACAATTTGGGTGCAAGCGGCATATCTTTACTGGAACATTTTGAGGTTAACAGATCTGTTATGGCTTTAAATTAAATAAGTATGTTCTTTTTGTAGTAACTGGGGAACTGAAAGTGATCCTGATTCAAAATATCACAATGGGAACTCTGAACCGCGAGGATTTGGTAAGTTATTTCCCAATTTTTACAAGATAAACATTCCAGGAACTTGTGTATAGTATGTTAGCTTGTAATTCAATTGACATGAACTTCAGAAGGTAACAGTGAATGACTTGATGGTGTTTTCCTCTAAAAGGGGAATAAATGAAACAGATCTTCATAATTCATAATAATAATTCAAAATTTTATTTACATCCATAACTGTAAAATATACAATCGGATAAAGTCAAAGAGAATATATAGATTAAATAACAATCACACCTAACATAATCAAAGAATACATAAATACTTAAATAAATTATATAAAAAAACCACCGGCACATGCATTAACAATTACAGTCATTTAATTCAACATCTTACATATAAAAAAACTCCTGAAGAGAGTAGAAGGCACTATGCAACAAATAACACTTCAATTTCCTCCTAAACACTTTAAAATCAGATACATTCTTTAACTCCAAAGGAAGATTATTGTATAGTTTTATGCCCATGTTTATCACACTTCTCTTACAACGATTTGTATTACAATGTTGGGCATACAGATTATGTTTATGCTTTGTATTGTAATACAATTGTAATTACAATTGTAATTCTGTACTCCTTACATATTTTAATTATGATAATATTTATTTATGACTTTGTGTGTTATGTGTTCAAATATTGTATGACTTTGATATTTTCCATGGCCAATTTTTTTTTTGTAACTGAGTTAGGTTGTATGAAGTGTGAAGAGAGGACGATGATGTATGGAGGTGGGTTAGATGCCTCCACTGTAGCCTTGTGAGTTGTAGAAGGTGATGAAAAGTGAATCTGGTGTCTGGGGCTCTAACTGGGCTACCCTCTCAATGGAGGACTTAAATGCAGAGACCTGGTAGTCCAGGTTGGGGGTTGTACACAAGGCTGATGACCTTGCTCTGTAAAAAGATTATTACTGCAAAATCCAAAGAAGTGAAAAACAGATCAAATTTGGCAGACACTTCCAAGGAAAGCTGTAGTTCAAAAAGGGTTGTTTTGCTGATGATGATCTTCCCATATGTTAGTTGCTTATAATTATTATGAATATTACTTGTAATTGTTTACACCTTAATATGTGTGAGTTGAGACAGCTCAGTAAAGTGATGGGGTATGTACTTGATGGCTGAGCTTTGATTCCTGGGAGTAGGGATTCCCCGCTGCCGCC